TAGGCGCATGTGCACGCAAAAGGGACAGATGAAGGTGAGAAGGACAAGACAGACAAAGGTGTGTGTGGTTGCCGATGAAAAGGAACCAAGTGAAGAGGGACAACCGATGAGCCAAACCTCATTGTAACGAACCTGGGCCACCTGAACCTCGCTGTAAGTAAAGTACGCGTGCGTGTATGTGTACAAACTAAGGTCCGGACGAAAGTGCGCGCAAGAGAAAGAAAGGATGAGGATGAAGAGACATGAAGACAGAAAGACATGAAAGAAAAGAGGAAAAACCGTCTGTGGGGGCCGATGAAAGGGGAACCAAATGAACAGGGACAAACAGATGACAAACCAAACCTCATTAGAGAAACCTGTTGCAGAAGCCTAGTTTGCTTAAACACGCCGCGCGCGAGGAAAGAGGGGGCAGGGGGAGGAAGAAAAGAGAGGGAAAGAAAGAAGGAGACAAAGGTGCTCCCAGCTACGACACATGCGTCCAGGGACACACCAAAAAGAAGGGCTCCCAGCTATGACGAAGCATCCAGGGACACCCATGGAAGAGGGAGAAGAGAGGAAAGAGAGAAGGAAAGAAAGAGAGAGGGAGAGAAAGGGAGAGGAAAGGAAGGTGTTCCCAGCTACGAACAATCGTCCAGGGACACACCCAAGAAAGAGAGGGGTGATCCTGAGTATTGCATTCAGGAAAACCCCAGAAAGCAAAGAAAGAACGGGGGAGGGAAGGGGGAGAAGGGGGGGCTAAGTGCTCGACAGGTCCCAATGGACCTTAAACTTGCTTTGACCGCTGTGGTCACCTTGTGCCCTGCCGAAATGGCTGGCTGCTTTGACCGCTGCGGTCACGTAAAGGCATGAGCCAACTTGGAATTCCAAAGATGGGACAAAAATCATCGGACGTACGGCCGAGGCCACCTGCTGTCCGCTCCGGACACCTACCTCTCCAAAGCAAGGGAGAGAAAGACATACACCCGTTCGACGGGTCCACGGGAGGCACTCTGCGGGCTCATCCCGGGTTGGCGCGAGGCCAAACACACTTGAGATATTGTGTACTGAATTGAATGCGGTGCCACACGCCGGCCTAAGAGACCCAAATCCTGAAAAACCAGGTGAAGGGGACCAGAGTTCCTGTAGTTAAAGGCCACGAACCGACGAGGCGACAGGTTGACGGCGTTCCGCTCACGTCTGCAGCTCGAGGAAAAACATCCAAACTTCCAAACTTCGAGGTTCTTGGCTTAGCCTCACGCCATGCAGAAAATTGGAAAATTTGCAGGTACACAATGTGGCGTCCCACATTGCTTCACCACGAGCTGACAGTGTCTTCGTTGGGTAGTGTCTGTCAGTCGTGCACTACCCCCCTGCTGTGAAAAACTAAGCAAATCCAGAAGGATCCCTATGACTCCAAGGGTTACACACACACACACACTCAGCCGTCCCTGAATCGATTTTGCCGCGTGCGAAACGAACACACCAACGAAGATCGTGACCTTGTTGGGCATATAGGCGAGCCAAATGAACAGGCGCCTGTTCAATGGCGGTGGGTGGAAAAGTGTAGCTGCGGATCAGGTGGGGTCGTGAAACAAGCCCGGAAAGTCGAAGGCGCTCAGAACCGGCTGAATCTGGAGTGTGATCTCGGATCTTCCAAGGCCGTGGGTGAAATGTAGGTAGCTCAAGGTTGACGTTGAAGCCCAAAAGGTGCATGTCTTTGACAGGCTCGAGTTCTATGGGATTTCCGAAGAAATCCGAGTGGATGAGTGTTTGAATGCCGATGTGGTTGAGGAATGTGTCGTTGAAGGTGATGAAAGTCATAACTGATAGAGATCTTGCGAGCATGGACCTAAGCGCGCGCCGCAACAGGGTCCCACTCAGGTCTGTCGTGTGATCCCTACGGGGCGCGTGGAGCAGCATAGGCCCGTAAGGGGGAACGTTCACTGCCTATATGCTCGAACTCCACCGACTCAGCTGCTTGCTCGAGATCGCTGATCATACGCCGCAGGGCCTACTGACACTATCACAGAGTGACATGTCATTTCAAGCGTCTAGGTAACCGATTGTACAGTACCATGCCACGCCGCTCTTTCCTTCGAAGCACTAATACTTCGAAACCTTCACCAAAGCCATTACCAAATGGCTCAAGCAACCCACACTCCAGCAACATGCACAATCCTTTATTACCACTCAATGGCAACTCCACATCCACCACTTACGCACCGAACCACGATTCACTGCGCCTGATCCATCAAGCGGCTCCAGCACTTCTTGGGACGTGGTCCTACACCACGCGGACCACGAACTCCAACATCTCCGCATCTTATCTTTCGCCCACGGATGTACTTTCACGGGTGTTTAGCCACCTGGCAATCGCACTCAAGCCTACCCCGGCGACCTGCGGCGGAAATACCGCTGGAGTTTTCGATACCATACGGCATCCTACACTTCAAAGCAATGGCGCAAAGGCCGCGCCATCATTTCCTACTTCAAGTCTGCGCACGGCATCCTCCTGCGCGCCACGTCCACCGCCATCAACGCCATGATCCTTCGCTTTTCCCACAAGCACCCGGCCAGCTTTCCATTCCACAGCTCTGGCGACACTTCCACTAATACCTGTCTAACACACCCCCACACATCACCCTGCGCGCAACCAACGATGATCTTGTCGGTTTCTTCAATTCGGCGCCGCAAGACCGACTCATTGACGCCTTCCAGAGCCTCACCACCAAATGGAACCTTACGTTTGAAAACACCCACTCTCACCATTAACATCCAAGCTACCGGCAACCCCGTCCACCTTTCACACATCGTGCCAACACCACCGCAGGCATCCCACCCAACGCACCATTGACGCACACGACATTCCACAGATCGTTCGCACGGCGCTCAACACCTGCATTTTCCAAGCATGCGCCACACTCTACCAACAAACCAGAGGAGCCGGTTTTGGTTCCCAGCTGCCGCCTGTACTGCGCAACGTCGCCATTGCCCTCATCGAAAATTCGTGGGCCCAGCTACACCACAGCCTCACAGACCACAGTCAAATCCACTTTGCCTACTACAGATCACAACCGGAAAGTTGAATGGTGTGGTCGCCAGCTGCGTCTTATAATGCGCCCAGCCCCCACGGCAGATAAGTTTGCGCGTCCGGACTTTCACGGTCTTCGTTGGCTCTGGCAGTGAAAGTGGATCCAGCTTAGGTGTTAGAAACTGTGCTCGTTCTCCCTGGAGACAGGAGTTGACACTCTCTCTCTCTCTCTCTCACCCCCCCCCCCATCACCCTGTTTTCGCCTTTCTGTCTTTCCTTTGCTGGCGCTTTCCTCTTTTTTTTCTTCCCTCGGTTTTGTCTCCTGTTCCTTCTTTCGCTGTGTGTGCCTGCACCGCTTCACATTGTTCTCTTTCAGGCTCAGCCGCTTGTTCGTTTCATACTTTTTACATCCTTTGACGGGCTTTCCTTGACCATGAATATGGCATACGCACGCTGCCATGATTGACAAAATGCCGAACTCTGTTTGACTGCCTGCCTGTGACTTGAAGACTTCATCATCAGTGCCCCCATGTTGAGTTTCCATGCATGGTAAGTTGCTATAGTTGCAAATGACTGCACTGCACGCCGGGGAAGGGTATGAACAAGTGTTTTTTTGGTTGTGCGAAGTGGCGGCAACAGCCAACTCATAGACTGCTATTTGACACTTGTTTGCGCTAGGATAGCTTTCCGATCAAGCGTGGCAAGAAGTTCAAGGGCTTCCCAGTACACTTTTGCACGTCAGACCAAGAAAGCATACGGCAGTACCTGATGCAGATCAAAGAGATCCTAAGCTGAGCTTAACAAGTGTCCAGCAAAGAACCCGACATACGACATGTTTTGAATTGGTCTCTACCCTCTTCTCCGAGGTACAAACAAATCATAGACTCAGATGAGGAGGACACAAATTTTTGTTGGAATTGGCATATTTGGCACGATTCCAGTCCTGTCGTGGGTAAGCCGAAAGGACGTGTTCTATACCATTGAGTGCCGCATCATTGGCCGCCTTGGTGGAATATTGTCTGTGTGGTTGTACGTGGGAATCCAGGCCAGGCTCGGGGTGAGAAGACCAGCGATGCAATCCACATAGAGGCTATGATATAGAGACTTGGTAACAATCCCTGAGTGCAACACTAGGAAGGCAGGGGGTCACTACCTCACCCTGCAGTCAAGGGGGTGAGCTGGGGTGTGGACCACAGAAAATGATTCAGCACAATCCACGGCAGGAACCACAGCGCGAAGCAGATTTTTTGGAGGAATGAAGCTAGGGACCTCACATTCTGTGATGTCAAATCCGTGCACAAATTCAAATCCGTGCACAAAATTTGCAGATTGCGACAAGAGACCAAGAGCAGGAACCGACCAACAAATTGACCGCTTAAACGCAGATGTGTCTCCTTGTAGATTGACAGACTGCATGCTAGTGTTTTGTGTTGCACGAGACATGTTGGTTTCTGGCGCGGTTTGTTTGTTAATGCTTTCCGAGCCAAAGGTGCTGCGAGGAAGGCCTTTCCTTTAAGGAAGGTTTTTTTGTCGATCAATTTTTTACACAGGTTGTCGCGGTGCGTGTCAGAACTAGGATGACACGGTCCAAGTGTGGCCACACTGGCCGGTTTCACAGCCAAAGTCTCGCGCTGATTGCTGCAGCCTGCTTGCTAGCATTGCCGGAAGCTTCCAGATAGGCTCCGTGGCACATAGCAAATAGACACACTGGCTTCCTGGTTGAAGTCATGAAGGGAGGGAAACTCAGAAACGGCTTCAATGATGGATAACTTTCTGATGCTCATTGCGGTAGGCATATCAGGAATCATGAAAGGATGAAACTGTTGCCAGGGAACTTCCCACGTTATTCCAGCATGTAGCACAGGATGCACAAGGCACGAACTCCACGTATGCAACACCTACATGAGCTATGACAAACAGCAGGCCCGCTGCTGCACAACCTGGCCGACCAGCAAAAATAGCAACTAGCAGCTAGCAACAATAAGGTGAAGTCCTTGCAACCTTGGCATGGCTTCGGACTCATGGGGCTACTAAGCCGATCCAGACGGAAAGATGCGAAGGAGCGGCTGTGAAGTTTTGGAGCAGTATTGTATATAATTTGTCGATCAGAATCGTGCGAGCTCAGGAGGCAGTTTCTCCCAGGAAGATTGATCTTGAATCTGGTGATCTTGCAGATGCTTTGACTGGTGATGAAGCTGGCCCGCCGCTTGAAAACCGCTTGATTTGCATTGCCACGAGAGAAACTGCTGGCCATACTTGAGGCACAACGGAGGAAGCCCTCGATTTCGAAAAGCCTGAGCAGAATGTAGGTGGGAGTTGGAGTGGTACTGCAAGAACTTAGCTTTTTACACGTTGGCCTGACATTGACATGGGTTCTTTGTCTTTATAGTTCTGCACCATAATATTGTATATAGATGTATATAGATGCGGGTAATGTGCTTATGGACGCTGCAAACTAGCAGCTGGCTTTTGCGGCTAGGGTTGACTTTTTGCTTCAAGAGTTTGGCAGGGTCGCTCGTGGACTGACACCGGAACATTTTGACCTCTCCACGTGTGCCCACGCGTGTGCTTCAATTCTGCCACATCATGATACCGGCAACTAGCTGTCGAAAGGCCTGCCATGTCACAACCAAACCTACCACTCTCTGGCGGTCCAAACGCCACTCCGCCTTGCAAGATCAGGTGCTGGATGTTAAGCGGCCTCAGTTAAATTACAGAACGTGCCGCGTGTCCATGTCTGAGCAGCGTGTGCCACACCACCCAGGGCCTTCAATACCACCAGAGCTGAACATGTACCACTGTGCCAGCGTTGATGAGGACCACCGTAACAAGCCAAATCGGTTTTTGCATTCAGAAATCATCACCGGTCCAATTTGTATATTACTCAGTTTCAGAGACGTCATAATAACGAGCAGGTGTTTAGCTTGGCAGGCTAACCAACTCCTATCCTTGCCTGCGAGCTGTGGATAGAACCTGTTTGTGCTGGACTTCTCTTCAGTTTGAAGTTTGAAGTTTGTATATTGCTCCTGAGAGGCGAAGGTGGTGAAGGGGATGTTGCTAAAGGCACTACGCTGAGCAAAAGGTACCTTGCCGCTGTGGAGTGGGGTGGGGCACATGCACAAACACCTATAGCCTATAGAAAAGGCTAGTGCAACTCCACCACAAACATGTGTACTTGCACATGCCATGTGTCACGGGTCGGGGACATTGCCCAAGGTGAATTTCACGAAGCTCCAAGGACGAGCCACAACACCTTCAAAGTCCTTCATGATTCAAGACTGAGGCCTTTTCTTCTACTAGGAGTCGACCTCCATTTTGCTTCCGACCACACCTTCAATGTCAGAATTCATTTTTTCTCCTGGAGAAGCTTCAAATCAAGGCAGTCATTTGTTCCCCTAGTGACGGCCTAGCACCACGCGCAAAGAGAGCTGTTGCGGGATTGGCTAAGAATGGACCTCTGCCGCAAAAGGTGGTTCTGAGACCTAGCCACTGAGGAAGACTGGGTTCAGGATGCCGAAGCTGTTTGGGAAGGCAGAGGCGAGGCCAAGGCTTCCACAAGATCCAGATTCGAGATGGGACATAATTTCAACTGACTGCTTGAAAGAGACGGAAGGCCTTAGCGTTTTGTTAATCTCTTCTTTGCAAAGATGCTTCCCTTGCAACTGCAACTATTGTGGGTGCAGCAGCTGGGCAGGATGGCCCAGAAGAAATGAAGGAGCCCATGGAAAGAATGCGATGGTGGGAGCTTACGTTTTCGATTAGAGGCTTTGAGAATGTTACAGTGGACACGCTGAAATTGTTCTGGACGGTCTCCCTGGGAAGTGACAACCCGAAAAAGCACCGAAATCGAGCGCTTCGACTGCAAGTTGCTTCGCAGGGCTTTGTGCCATTTTCCTGTCCATGGCTGTATCTCATGCAGAAGTCAACGCTCTTCGCATTGCGTTTCTTTCACTTTTGCATACACACACACACACGCACTCAAGAAGAGTCACAGGAACTTTGAATTTGAAACCTTTGAGGGCAGGTCAACATTATGTCTCCAAAATAGGAATCTTTATGGAAAAAGCCAACGCTCACATCGCTGGTGCTTCTCATCTCATAATGCAACAGTTCTAGCCTGTTTCTGATTGAACGAGGTCCGCTTGCAAACAAAATTCACTTCGATCTTCACGCTGGAGAAAGGCAAAGTCTTTACTGCAGACAACCCAATCGTGTTATACGAGCGCAAGACCTTTGCCTTATGCTACAAGGATTCCGCTGTCCTTTCGTGATCAATATATGGTGTCCTACTGAGACAGGCTATAGATCCTTAATGATAGCTTGTTGAATTCTTGCAGGAGCTTGAGAAGCATGTTGTCAAAGTTGACATGTGGCGCGTCTCTTGTTGGACCTTCAATGAGTACTATGGCGTCAAGAAGCAAAAGCTCTCTCAAATCGCGAACCGCGATCCAAACATGGAACTCCGGATCCTGCGGAAGCTCTCAAGACTCTTGCCTGGACAGTATATACTGTAACTATTTCTGCCGTTTTGGTGCGCACCTTGCGAGTCCAATTCTTTTGTGTCAGATCACGAGGGTGAGTCGCTTATTGTCTTATTGTGTTTCGCGGGAAAAACCTAAAGACACCCCAAAGACGCAAAGTTCGAGCGACAAGAGGCTAAGATGCAAAAGAGGAGTATCAACTGCATGTTATTGAGGCTACTCTGTAGCCTGAGTTAAAACGGAAAAGTCTTGAGAGAAAAGAGTATGCAAGAACAAACACCAAACTGGCTGAAGACGCTTGGAGAAACCTTGCTATTAGGCCTAAAGCCAAATGACGAACAGATCTTTGGCAGAATCGTGTTTCTAGTTTTGGGGTTCCACTCCCGAAGCTTACAATCCAAGACTGTTTTCTTCTGCCAGCGCACTAGCAACGACCGTACCTGTGGTAGCATCGGTTTAAAGCTCTCTCAGCATAGCAGGTCATTGCCGGTCACTGCTACAAAAAAGGTTGGATTGGTTGTGTTGCCATGTGCAGATATGCTGCATTGCAAAGAGCACGGAGCATAGACTGGCATGGATGCGCATCATGCTGCCAGAGTGCATTGAACTCAGCCTTTGTTGGTTACAGGCACTGAGGGAGTGGAAAAGAGGTATATAGAGAGGGCTCCACTCACCGAGGAAAGCAGTTGGCCGACAAGAAGAAAGCCAAGTCTGTCGCGGATGTAGCGCTCTATCGTTGCACGGTGAATCTTGAGGAAATCTTTGACTTTGATTTGTTTTGCGACTTGGCTGACTCGGCATTTGCATTCTCACCTTGCACTTGCATTGAACACAAGAGCATGTGCAGGTGAGAATTGGACACTGGAGCTTGGCCGGGCAAGCCCGGAGTTCAAACAAATGAAGGAAGAACGGAAGCGGCTGACGTTCACCGTGCCCCGGGACCGACCGATGCTTCAATGTGAAACATGCAATGCGTGCGCGGCAATGGTGTTTGCGAAAGGCAGAGGAGCAAAGTACTGCTATAAACAAGATGGAGCCCACGAACCCGAATGCAAACACATATGTCAATCCACTGTGTATAGAAAGAGACACAGCGGGTTAGAGTCTCTTTTTCACGCTCCGGCACGCTGTTGGACATCATGCGCTGGGGACTCCACCACCAAGGCAGCATGTGCTGGGGACTTCACCACCAAGCTCCGTCTTCGTCATGCACCACCAAGCTCCGTCTTCGTCATGAAGGGTCTTCGTTTTGCATTCAAATCAAGCACTGGCGTAAAGGTTCTGGCAGATCCACATCACGAAAGAAACAATGGCATTGTCCCAAAATCTCGAAAAGAAGCACTTGAAAATGATAACCGTCCACATAATACAGAGAAATCCACAACTGCGGCGTCTGATCTTCTTGTAAATAGGAGTGCAAGACCGTGCGTTGTTGTGTTACACCTGCGTCAACAAGAAGTATATGAGACACACACAGCGGAAGTGAGTAAAACTATCCTATAGGTCATGTCATTAGTCCAACATTGGCACCGGTCCCGTATGTGTGTGCACACTCTTGTGGGACACTCTTGTAGGACACTCTTGTGGGACACTCCTGTAGGACACTCTTGTGGGACACTCTTATAGGACACTCTTGTGGGACACTCTTAAGGGGCACTCTTGTGAGACACTCTTGTGGGACACTGTTGCGGGACACTCTTGTGGGACACTCTTGTGGGCCACTCTTACGTGACACTCTTGTAGGACACTCTTGTGGGACACTCTTGTAGGACACTCTTGTGGGACACTCTTACGGGACACTCTTGTAGCACACTCTTGTAGGACACTCTTGTGGGAGACATTTGTGAGACACTCTTGTGGGACACTCTTGTGGGACACTCTTGTGGGACACTCATACGGGACACTCTTGTGGGGCACTCTTGTAGGACACTCTTGTGGGACACATTTGTGGGACACTCTTGCGGGACACTCTTGTAGGAGACTTTTGTGGGACACTCTAAAAGGACACTCTTGTGGGACACTCTTGTAGGACACTCTTGTGGGACACTCTTGTCGGACACTCTTGTGGGACACTCCTGTAGGACACTCTTGTGGGACACTCTTGTGGGACGCTCTTATAGGAAACTCTCGTGGGACACTCTTGTAGGACACTCTTGTGGGACACTGTTGTGGGACACTCTTGTGGGACACTCTTAAGGGACACTCTTGTGAGACACTCTTGAGGGACACTGTTGCGGGACACTCTTGTGGGACACTCTTGTGGGACACTCATACGGGACACTCTTGTGGGACACTCTTGTGGGACACTCTTGTAGGACACTCTTGTGGGACACTCTTATAGGACACTCTTGTGGGACACTCTTAAGGGGCACTCTTGTGAGACACTCTTGTGGGAAACTGTTGCGGGACACTCTTGTGGGACACTCTTACGTGACACTCTTGTAGGACACTCTTGTGGGACACGCTTGTAGGACACTCTTGTGGGACACTCTTACGGGACACTCTTGTAGCACACTCTTGTAGGACACTCTTGTGTGGGACACATTTGTGAGACACTCTTGTGGGACACTCTTGTGGGACACTCATACGGGACACTCTTGTGGGGCACTCTTGTAGGACACTCTTGTGGGACACTTTTGTGGGACACTCTTGCGGGACACTCTTGTAGGAAACTCTTGTGGGACACTCTAAAAGGACACTCTTGTGGGACACTCTTGTAGGACACTCTTGTGGGACACTCTTACGGGACACTCTTGTAGCACACTCTTGTAGGACACTCTTGCGTGGGACACATTTGTGAGACACTCTTGTGGGACACTCTTGTGGGACACTCATACGGGACACTCTTGTGGGGCACTCTTGTAGGACACTCTTGTGGGACACTTTTGTGGGACACTCTTGTGGGACACTCTTGTAGGGCACTCTTGTGGGACACTCTTCTAAAACACTTGTAGGAAACTCTTGTGGGACACTCTTGTAGGACACTCTTGTGGGACACTCTTGTGGGACACTCTTGTAGGACACTCTTGTGGGACACTCTTGCAGGGCACTCTTCGTACGAGACTTCCTCCAAAAAGTCACACGTCAAGTCTCCAAAACGAGCGTTTCGTACGAGACTTCCTCCAAAATTCACATGTCAAGTCTCCAAAACGAGCGTTTCGTACGAGACTTCCTCCAAAAGTCACGTGCCAAGTCTCCAAAAAGAGCGTTTCGTACGAGATTTCCTCCCAAAACTCACATGTCAAAGTCTGCAAAACGAGCATTTTGTACGAGACTTCCTCCAAAAGTCAAGCGGAAACACCCATCGGAGCACACACATCACGCATCCCTGCCAAGCAGTTTCGCGAGCCCAGCCCCTCCAAACAATACCCGCTCACACGCCAATCCCACTGTGACAGCGACATTCACCTCTACCACAACTCACACCCTCACAATTCCCTGCGCCTGCCACGAATCTTTCCGCGTCCACACGTCTAACGCGCACAAAGTATTGCGCCTGCCACGAAATGTCACCTCCGTCACACCTCGCAACCTCACGATTCCCTGCACCTGCCACGAAAATCACACTTCCACACCTCAAAATCCGCACAAAGGGTACTGCGCCTGCCACGAAAAGTGACAATATCATCTCATGTGAGCTTCAACAAAATTTGAACCACACCACACGTTTGGAATGATTTCGACCCGTTCTGAACACACTCCCATCCACCAAAATCGCCATTTCAGCTGAGACTGGTCACGAAAACAGAGCTTCGATGCCACACCCTGAAACGCAAATCCCAATGGCACGGCCACATCCAACGCCCCAAAAACACGACTCTCCAAACGCTAATCCCAGTGGAACTGCGTAGCAAACTGAGGATCTCACAAAACGCTGCGCCTGTGCAGCGAAATGCATCACGCTTCTTGCGTGACATGCCATTTTCATGCAAATCACAATGGAATAGCGTCGCAAACTGACACGTGACACATCCATGAAAAGTCACTTGCAAAAGCTTCCCCCAATGGCAGCGCCTTAGCGCTCTACTGCGGACACCTGCGGACGGTTGCGGACGGTTGCGAACACAGAAACAACGGGTCGCGAACAATTCTCTACCCCCAGACCCCCAGAGTTAAACGAGAACCCTTCGCTACGCATTCGGGAAAAAGGAACCAGGCTGTACTTATGTTATATACATATACAGGCTTGTAATTCCGGCCTAATTTTGGTATGGCCATGTTGGGGAGTTGTTTCCAGCACTGGTCATCGCTACTCACGATTCTTTGCACCTTGGTACTTACCACGGGCTCGTGTAATACTGTAAGTCTGCTTGAGCTGCTCAGATTTGGAGCCTGTCAAGAGACCGAATAAAGCGATGACCCGTTGTTTGTATGCAAACCTTTGTCGCGTGGAAAGTCGCCAATTACAGTAGTATAGCTTTGGAAATTTGATGGCCATGGAGCACCCGCTGCAGCAAATGCTCGGGATAGAACGTGCAATGGCCATACTTCGGTGTTGTTTAATTATTCTTTCTCGGGCAGCTTTCACATAGGCCTTGCCGGCGCTGGGACTGCTGGGAGCTTCGTTCCTCCGTTGTTATATAGCTTGAGTAAGCATGTTGTATCTTCATTTGTTGTTTATTTGTGCTTATCTTTGCTGTTTTGGGCTTGCGTGATGCTCTCTCTCTCTCTCTCTCTCTTTCTTTTTTCGCGTGCTGGTATGCATATGTATATAAATACTAATATATTCACACGCACATGGGTTTCGTCCTCGTAATTAAAGATGAAACCGCGGTTATGTGTTTCCGCAGCTGCTCGGCTTCAGCAGCGTATGAGTGAGGAGGTGCGCAACTGGGAGACGCTATGGCCTGTGCCTAGCGGTGCAGCGAGTCTTCCTGCTAGTGTACACCTCCAAGCTCGGTGCCGAGTTCACTAAGGTGTGCGCGGAGCGCCTCAGGTCCCTTTACCTCGAGCTCTTGGACGTGGCTGAGAGCTCCGGCGAGGGAGTGGGAAAAGCAACTCTCTCGGCTCCCGCGTTCAAAGGGTACTTGGAGGGAGACAGGGCTCCCAAATCAGGTGAAAAGGGGACTGCCACCCCCGCTCCTGCACAGAAGAGGAAAGCAAAGAGAGAGACTGGATCCGAAGACCACGCCAGGAGCCCTCTACCGAGAAGAGTGAAGAGCCCCATCACAAGGAGAAAAAGCGAAGGCGGAGGAGCAAGAGTGGTAGCAGAAGCAGAGCCAGACGCAGGAGACGAGAGCGCAGCCCATCCGCCCAAGAGCCTCCCGGGGATTTTGCGACCGCCAGGTGCGAGGATGCCTCCCGATGGAGCAGAGGACAAGGCAGCGGTCTGGTTGAGTGCGTCGGACCTGACTTTGAAGGAGGCGGACAAGTTGACTCACATGGTTGTAGAGGGCCAGTTTTGGGAGGCCCTGTCGCGTGGCAGGGGAAGTGATCGGTCTGGCAATCAACCGTGGAGATCGCAGCTTGAGGGTGGTCACTGGCACTCAGACCGAGGGTGTGTTGAAGGCGCTTCAAGGGCATCCCAGAGAGATGCGCCGCCCGTGCGAGAGACTGATATGGAGCGAGAATTTGATCCATGCAGAACGACTTCGGCGACAGGAGGCTGCAGACTAAGAGTGGGCCAGCAACCGAGATCGAGATCCAGGCAGTTTGAGAAGTCCCGGAGAGGGGGATTTGTTGAGGAATCTTCGGAGGGAGGCAGGGGAGGCCGCTCCCGTCATTCCAGCAGACAAATACTCTCCCGAGGGGCCGGAGGCCGCGGCAGGGGGAGGTCAAAGGAGTTGCAGCCAAGGGCAAAGCAGCCAAGCAGAGGAAGAAAGAGAAGGTCAAGCCGGTGTTGGAAGCCCCCTTAGCAGACGGCTCATGATGAAAGGGAAAGAAGAAACATAAATTCGGTCAGGGCATCGCCGCGGCCCTGGTCACATGAATCACCGCCACCTGATTCCATGGACATAGACATGCGTATATGCCAACATATAGTACATGGAGACCAAGTGACCAGACGATCCGCACATAGGAACATACGCGCATACACAGAGACACATTGCCCTGGTCAGCCGTACGTGCGACTGTCGTAGTCATTCACAGGGGCTCGCTTCGCTTGCCCCGCGCGGGAGGCGCTGCGCCCTCCCGGGCGCCCCCTCCCGCCAACGTGCGCCCGAGAATAGAATTTAGAGCCGCGTATAAGCCACCCGAGGATAAAATTTAGAGGAGGAATGTGCCAATCCAACGATGCATTTCTTTTGTGAGCCACCCGAGGGTGACATTTAGAGGGCGAAGGTACCATTCAAACAGTGCATATTGTGACCCGCCCAAGAATGAACAATTTGGAGGAGGAAGGTGCCAGTCCAATGGTGCGGACCTTTTGTGAGCCTGGGGATATGCTTTAGAGGACGAAGGTGCCATTCCAATGGCGCATACCTTTTTGCACGCCGCGCGAGGACAAAATGTTAAATGAGGAAGGTGCCTTCCCAACGGTGCGTACCTTTTGTGACCCACCCGAGGGTGAAATCTAGAGGAGGAGAGGAATGAAGGTTCCACTCCCATGATGCATACCTTTTTGTGAGCCACCCGAGGGTAAAATTTAGAGGAGGAATGTACAAATCCAACAGCAACCCGAGGGTAAATTTAGATGCATACCTTTTGTGACCCAGCCGAGGCTGAAATTTAGATGAGCCATTCCCACGGTGCATGCCTTTTGTGAGCCACCCGAGGGTAGAATGTGCCAATCCAACAATGCACACCTTTTGTGACCCAGACAAGGGTGCAATTTAGAGGAGGAATGTGCCAATCCAATGATGCACACCTTTTGTGACCTGAGGCAGGTGCCATTCCCACGGTGCATACCTTTTGCATGCCACCCGAGGGTAAAATTTAGAGGAGGAATGTCCAATCCAACGATGCAAACCTTTTGTGAGCCACCCGAGGGTAAAATTTAGAGGAGGAATGTGCCACGAGGGCACGTTTTCGAGGAAATTCGTAAAAGCGATTTTACCTGACCCCATTTCTCCACACACCCGCCGTTGAGCCTGCAGATATAGTATATTGCGCGTGTTCCAAAATGAGCCAGTTTATGTGTTCCCAAATGAGCCCAAACGGACCAAACCAGTGTGTTCCAAATTGAACAAATTTGCGTGTTCCAAAGTGGGCCTCCTCCCTCAGAGAAGGGTGATTGAAGAGGAATTTTGCAGGAAGGCTACTAAGATTGCCAAAATGATTCATTGTCAGAATAATTTCTTTTGAGGAACATTCAGTGTGGATTGGACGCAGTGAAGAAATCCAATGAAGAAGGGAAATTCTGGATTGTCATGATCATTGTGTTCAAAACTTTGAGATGAGTTATCTCATTGTAGTTGGTTCAAACCGCTTCAAATTTGACTGCATGGAGACTAATCAAGAGAGTTGAGAAGCACATAAATTGAAAGAGCTTCGACATTCTACAAGACTATGTCAGGAGGATTCACAGTGGATTGATTCTGAATGGAGGTTTTGTAGGGAGAGAAACACCAAATACACAAGCCTTTCTCAGCTATAAGATCCTGAGTGAAATCACTGCAGGAAACTACTCAGTCACAAGGGGTTTGGAGGCAATGCAAGCCACAGAAGGATGGTATGAAGGACACAAACTAATGCTAGAGGCAGCCAATGAAGGAGCAAATCCATCAGGAGGACCATTGAACAGAACATTCAGAGTGGGAAATAGAGAAATGTGAATGGGATCAGAGTATATAAATATGCAGTACAGATGTGTGGTAGACCCCAGACCAAAACTGAGGAGCTGAAATCACAACATTGGGACCTACTAGGAGTAGGAGATCAAGAGACTGGAGACAAAGTTGTAAGTATGAAGAGCTACTTGCAATAGCAGAAGGCAGAAGGGACAACCCAGATGCTGACCCAGCAGAAGTACGCTCTAGGAGCCCAGTTCCTGGAAGAAATGAAGGAGCCTGCAGAAACAAGAGTTGAATGGAAGAAAATGGGTTATGGTGGCAAAGTGAGCTCAAAGAAGCATTTCAGAGTTTCACAGTGCCAAGAAGGAGTGCGAACCATGTGGCATTTAGACCATAACCTGGATACATAGCATCATTGACAGTGCAACATGTACAGTTGATCCTTCTGCAGCTCTTGTGAGTATCAAGAAAAAGTGCGAAGTGCGTAACATGTATATGTATGGTCTCTTTCATTAAAGATGACGCTCAACTTCTTTCGCGAGCTGAACTTTGCAGCTACTTCGTGGGGACCCTGAAGCTGGCTTGCGTCGGCAACCGAAAGTGAATGTGCAAGTTGGGTTTCTCGGTTGCGTCGCTTCACCAAGCTTGGCGTGCGTTTAGTCGAAGAGTCTAGTCAGTCCTAAAACAGTTTATGGTTGGGGTGCTCCCGTAGGAAAAAGAAGCTGGCCACAGACAGTCTCTGGCCGCGCCGGTGAATGCTGTGTCCGGGCGTTGTCCTCCTGTTGTCCTCTTCTTGTCCTTTCTGGTGTGCAGATGCGCGCGGCTGCCAGCCGGTCTCCACACCTTCTCCTCCTGTTGTTCTCTTTTTTCTCTCTTGTCTTCTTCTTGTCGCTCCGTTGTCCTCCTCTTGTCCTCCTGTTGTCCTCTTGTTCTCCTTCTGCTGGTGTCCAGCTTGGCCGCGCTGGTGAGCCCTATGGCACAAGCCTTGTGTGGCGCCTAGTGTGAAAGGGCCAGCGGGCAAGCGCGAAGACCGCAGTACCGCAGCATGGCCAAGTGGCACCCTGTCAGCGTGGAAGCGTGACAGCATGTGAGCGTGCGCTACACAGCAGGCTAACAAGACAACTCCGGGAAGCAACCCCAGAAGCCGGTGTCCTCTCCTTGTCCTCCTGCTGTCCTATACTGTTGCGGTGTTCTGTCATAGGAAACAGAAGCCGGCCAGTCGTGCCTGCAAGGCCTGTCCGGATGTCCTCCTTTCTCATGTTAAAATATTTTCGGCGCTGTTCTCCTCATGTTCTTCTATGCTGTCCGTAATTGGCCGCGGCTGCCAGCCTATCTCCGGTCGCGCTCCTCCCGTCTTCGGCGTGTCTTTCTCTTGTCCTCTCTTGTCCTCTTTCCCTCTTGTGCTCCTCTTGATGCTTGTTGTCCTTTTGGCGTTGTCCGGTCAGAGCTCGTCCTGTTTTTGTCCTCTTGGTGTGTTCGCGTTGTTTTCTTCCCCTCATCCTTTTGTCCTCTGTCTGTTGTCCTCCTCATGTCCTCCTCTGGTCTTTCTGTTGTCCTGCCGCTGTCGTGCTGTTTACGTTGCTTTCCGAGGCAGGGGCTGGGGCTGCGGCTGCCCACCACAACGACAATTCTTGCCAACGAAGATGTGTGGGGTCTATGCTGGTATAACTTTTGGTTGAGATTGATATTCCAGATCCACCTTGCAAAAATTGTGTGCAGGAGGCAACTGCCAATGTTACGGAAGTGTAGGTTGTTGGAACAGTGGAAAGTTAGAAGGGACAGCGTGGCCCGCGCAGCGCAGTTTGGAGGTTTGGAAGCTTGCGCGAAGGGCTGAGGTTCCGAGCCGATCTTTTGCTGATTGTACTTTTTGCCGATGTTGGCAGGACAGACGAACATTGCCCGGTCACAGGGGCTATCTTGGACGGGGCGCAGCCTCGCAGACCGTCGACGCATGATGCAAATGGTAGGACTTGGCCATGGCTAGCAGGTCTCGATTTCAGGTAACTAACATTATCGTTCAAGGATTTTGTTGAAAATCATCACCTCTGGGGACCTATAGCGCATTGCTGGTCAGGCATAGAATGAAAAGGTAGCTTAACGGCCGCAACAGGTTTAGACTACTTAGTTAGGCTGATCCTGTAAAACAGGTTCTCAGCCGTAGGCTAGATTCGAACCCGAGGTATGGACCCTATATATGGACGATGAGAACCCTAATTAGTATGGCAGCGACTTCGACATTATACCGAGCTTCGCAAGTGGCGATAGTGTTCAAAGACATGAACAAGCAATTGCTGTGTTACAACAAATGTTGTCAGCAGCAGGGCCACAAGCAGTGTCGGAAGCATTTCAGCAGGTGCTTAAATAACGGCAATATTTCCTTACAGGAAGCCGCGCAAAGCTGCCTTAACTGGTATGCCGTCAGCTGCCATACCCGGTATGCCAACAGTCAAAAATACATTGACAATGGCAAGGTTCAACGTCGTCAACGTCAACGCAGGCGTAACGGAGGTAGAGTTGAGACAAGAGTTGCAACAACATGCAGTACAGCTTGGTGAGCAAGTGCGACAAGAACTCAGGTTTAGAAGCCTCTATGAGCGTGAAGCCTCAGAGTCAATAGCAGCAGAAAGGAATGCAGCTGAAACAACCATTCAATGAGTTTGGAAAGGGGCCCAACAACATGTTCGGTCCGAAGATAATGTTGCAATAAGGAGATTGCAGGCAACATTGTTGGAGGAACAACGTGAACATTTTCAGAATAGGTAGGCCCAGGCTCAACAAGCATGAACAAGCAATTCAGGAAAGGAAAAGATTTGCAGCCAAGTGTGAAAGCAGCTCATGAAGCAAGGGCCACTGCAGCCGATGATGCAAGCAAAGTCATTGACTTGACGTTCCAACGCGATGAGTTGAATAGCTCCCTGGCAATAGCTAAAGAGGAGATTAAAGCACTTTCGAATGAAATTGCAACAGTGAAGAATCAAAGCTCCACTAGTCAGGAAGCCCAGGCAGAAACAAGCAAGGAACTCAGGCAGGACAATTCAGAGCTGAAACAACAAATGGATGAACTTCGGATAACTTCGGCAAATGGTACAAGCATTGTCCAATACAGGCAAAGCCTCGGACACCGCAGTGCCTCCAGCTAGCCCGGCAAAGCCAGGGCTGTTTATCCCTGAAGTTGCCTTGCCTGAACCAAAGCCAGGAGCAACTCCTGCAGGAGCATCTCAATCTTTTGGACCACTGCGTTCAGAGGGTTCTTTGTCCCCAGACCATGGTGGAGTTCCGCTAAAAGCTCCAAGGCAAAAGAGGCTGATAAAATAGAGCTCCAGAATTTCCTAGTCCAGACCGGTACCGAACTTGGCGTGCTGTCCGCGAGGCAAATAGGTCTGCTTCTGACGATCCCGATGCTGCTTTTGCTTGGGTCCTAGAGGTGTATGCCACTAGGGAGGACAAGTTCAAACTAGCTTCTGAGTTAGGTGATCCGGGCAAATTTAGTACGCGCTTCAGACTGTTCAAGCGGCGTGCGCTATACACACTCACACACTTACACACACTCACACTCACCCACGTTCCACTATCACTCATCATTCCGCGGAGGTCGCGAGACTTAGGTCTACTGAGGCAAGTTCCAGCCCGTCCTCGCCCTCTCAGCATCCGGGTACGGATTGCCAAGCCATGGAGCGCGTGCGTGACACCAATGAGGACGACCTTCTGTACATATATATAGATTTGGACAATCGTAGTTCAGAACCTACTGACAGACATTTGTCTCTGGCTTGCTTACGGAAAAGCGATGGACACAATTTATGTCCTACGCTGCGTACCAGGCGAGGACCATTTCAGAAGATGGTACAAAGCAGCGATATAATGCTTCAGACATCATGCATTCTATATGATGCGTGGCTCATGCCATAAATTTGGACTGAAGCAATGGAGGGGTTGACTACAGTTCACCCTGAGATGTACGGCCACCTCAACGTCCTTGTGCAAATGCAACGGCCTGAAGTAGCAGTGATTGTTACAGACCCCACTTTGTGCTTCCTTGCCGGGAAGCGAAGCAAGGAGGCATATGAGCCCATCGAGGAGTTCAAAAGAGCATTTGGTCCCGAATGGACCGTTGAGATTCAGACCAGAATTGTTTGGTGCGCAGAGCTTCCGTGTCCTATTGATGAATCTGCAAAGATTACAATTCACATCAAAGCGAAGTCGCATTTGACGATGAGGAACCCAGAGCTCGAAGTACCCCGGATATTTGGCCTTGTATCTTTTGGAACGGCAATGACATGATCGGGCGCAATGGATTTTGTGACAACGATTTACGTTGGCGCTGCAAGATGGCCAACCCTGACAGGTTCGGCGCTGAGACACGCGGCGCGCATACTCAACGTTGTCAGGACGTTGGAACGGTGAAAAGTTGCTTTCGATGAGTTTTTGCGCGTCACTGCCGGTAAGTCCGACATCTATGCCTTGCCATCGTTCGGGATGAGTTCTATGATAAAATTTTTGACGTATTGAAAGCACTCAATATTCCCGTACTTGATCCCGGCTCAACAGAGCAACGACGTCTTTATTGAAGAGTTGCGAGCCTCCGTTAATAAACCTCGAAGGCGCAGGTGCAGATGAGCTTCCTGAAGAAGCAGTACAACTTGAAGAGAACAAGAACCCGCCCGGCCGGCATTCAAACAAATTTGAGCCACAATTCAATATTGTCAGGGGCATTGATGACGATGGAGACCCATATTCCATGAGTTCGGCCGCAGCTTCATCAGCTGGCCTCCTATTCCCTGTCGGCGAGGAAAAGGACAAGGACAAGGCGCACCTGCGCGAGCAACCGTGGTTGGTAGTTGGTTGCCTTGGTTTCAACCAAGACCAAGACACTGAGATCCAGTTTCTGGCAAGGGTAAAAGTACGTTTGTCCACGACTTGAAGCCACGAGGTGCTTGGCAAGTATCCTTACTCGGGTCACCTATTGAAGTCATTGGGGAATGGCAGCATCCAGCTTTTGAAGACCAATTTGGGACGCGATCCAAAGCAAAGCAATACGAGCTTCGCCACTTGACGGAACATCAGTACTTGCAAGTGTACGAAGAGAACCGCGATGTTCCGTGGGAGTCAAGTTGCCCATGTATTTGTACGAAGAGGTATTTCAGGCATTCTTCGCAGCCACGTTCCCGATATTTCGGTCTTTGACGCAGCCTGCTTCATAGCAGTGCCGACTATGCTGGAGATTAAGAAGAAGAAATTTCAACAATCCAATTTATGTGTATGATATAAATTCAATGTGGATCTACGATGAGAAGGACCGACTTGAATTTCAATGCGTATCTGGATCAATTATCAACGACGCGCTTCAGTTACATGAAGCCCCAGTGAAGGTCCGGTGTGGTCAAGGCCCACGCGGTCGAATGAAGTGTTAGCAAAACTAATCGTTTGCCGCCCAGACCATACACACAGGTACTGCAAGAAGCTTACTTCGCACGGCAATCGAGATATTCCTCCTCGCCTTTACCACCGCACCTATGAAGCGCGCCAGGTCTATCGTCACCAACGGCCTTGTCCCGGCCGGCGGCAAAAAGGAGAAGAAGTCCAAGGCGAACTCATTCTTCAGCATCGCACCTCTGGGAAACCAGACGGCAGTTTCGGGTTTGCGCGCGGTCCGTCAGATTGAGATTTTTTTCCACGGCAGAGGTGATCGAGGCCGGCGTTGATGTACTTCTTAGCAATCCTAATGCAGTCAGTACAAGTCATCGTGTACCGAATACATGTATCTTGTTTGCAACCAAAGCCCGCCTAAACGCGGAGCCAGAGGTATTTTACTCGCGGCCTAATGCCGCCGATCCAACCCGCATTGAGCCAGATACAAAGCAACAAGGGGTTGAGATCGTCCGCGGAGAAATCAAAAAAGAAGTTGTCAAAGATGAGATCATCGAGGAGACCCTGAAGAGCACACTGCGCAGCAGATGGTGGTCAAGAAGGGGATGGTTCCATCGAAAGTTGATATTTTCTTCATCTCCGTACTTTTCAATGTTTCAATGTCCTCGATGTCCAAACCTTTCCTTAGCAGCAATGGCATCACGCTACGGTTGTGGTGAAGTATTTTTCAGGGCGGCGATCCAAAGCCTGGACCTGTTTCAATGTATATGCGATCGCAAACAATGTGCGCAAGAGCTGTCAAGGAACAGGGGGGCAATGCGCTCAACAGAATTTCAATGGACCGCGCGCTTGACCGCATTGCCGGACAAGATTTGACCCCTGGCGGCGCCAATATTCGTGGAAATCCATCGTTGGACAGTCGCGTCATCATCAGTGCTCGCGACCGGATCCGCAGGGCGCGCAAGAAGAGATTCGAGTACGAATTTTGATCGATTCAATAGAGATGATGTTTTCGCAGTCTCCTTAACTGGAAAGGGTTGTACAAATTTTGATGCAGCCCAAGAAGATCTCTTTGCGTCACTGCAACTGCCCGCCAACAAGGGACGCCAAGCAGCGTCAAAAGGGTATTTCTGTGGTCAGCGACCTCGCGCCGCGTGACAGACAAGATTTGGCGATTCATTGCGGCGTCGATCATTTGCATCAATGCTTCAAGGCAGGCCTCAGCGAGAACTTCTGATCAGCTACTGCCACGAGTTCTTGTCCATTCGACAGCCGTGACAGGTCCTCATGATCCAGGGTTTCATTCCCACGACGAAAGTCGTTGACGATATTCACAATATCAGAATTCCCCGAGGCGACATTCCCACAGATGTCAATGTGACTCGCGACTTTGACGCTTTGAAATGAAGAATATGCTATTGCAAGCCAGTCATCACAAATGCAAGAGAGACACCGTGGCAAGGCGACGGGCTTCATGACCGTCGAGCAGCGTATGTCAACGCCGTTACCGCGCTTTGCCATCAATGCAGGTGTCGACGTTTCGCAGGATGAGTTTGACAGGTTGGAGCAATTGTTGCTTGATTTTGCTCAACGTGATGAACCTACAGTAGTCAATCTGCGCCTGTAACAAGGCCGCCGTTGCAGCGAAAGCGAAGACAAGCAGATGATGACAACGTTTTGGGCAAACGTCCACATTTACAGCGGTGGAAGAAGGAGGAGAGGAACGATGCAGACAGATATGCAACATGGTCAGATGATCGTCCCGTTCCTGCAGGTGTCCCAAAACCTCCAGCTCCCGTCAAAGGGAAGCTGAGTGTTTCAGTACGCAGGCCACCACCGCTTCCCAGGGCACCTGTGCCACCAAAGAAAAGTTTCCCTAAGCGGAATACCATTCCAGATCCTCCAATTGCACCCAAAGCAATGCCAGTAGATTTTACACCAGGCACAGTGGAGCAGTATGTAATGCAGCATGGCAACCACCCGAGGCAAAGCAGTCTCCATTTCTGGTGCCTGACCAATTGGTAGCCCCGGTGGAGGGCTGGAACTGGTGGATGCCAGCGCCTGCCCATCCGCCTGTCTCCTGCAGCCAGAGCTCTACAAACAAGCAGTGCAACTCGTGTTCCACGGCCACCAGCGCTCAGTGAGCTCCACAGACGGCTTCAACCTTGGCGTCAAGCAAAGGCAAAGGCAAGACCCGTGACGGTCCATACACCAATTCATGGGAAACACGGTCTCATGGACTGCGCCCATGGAATGTTCCGCCACCTCCTTTGCCACCTTCAACAGCAGCTTCAGATAGCGCGTCCGTAGCAGGACAGCCACCAGCAATAATGCAATCTGCTCATATCCAAGACCAAGGACCACTGACACGGAGGGAAATTCCCGGCGTACAGTGGCAGACTGATGATCCATTTGGTGAGAACTATTGGCCATTGGATGTTGGGCTATGGGATTGGATGGTATGACTGGACAAATAGGTTCGGCTTTAAAGTTTTACATCGTTATGAAAAATAGTTTTCATAGCTACCTTAGATGGTATTCCTTACCTACAGCATGAGTTTTGAGACCAGTTCACGGTCTGACGCGCAGTGAGATGATGTTTCCCATCATTGTTTCACTGCATGACTGCATTCCTAAACGAATGCTGGTTAGTCGGAGAGGGAACTGTCAATCACTACAGTACTCGGTAGTGCGTTAGGATCAGCGTGTGCAACTACATGCCGTGACCAAACCACTAGGCTGTATATTAGGGTCGCCACGTTCTCCTTGTATAGATACACGCGTGAGCTTGATGAAGCGATTTTCTGAGTATTACCGCGTGGCTTGAATTTGTTTCCCGACACTTTCCGCTTTAGTGATCTCCTTGTAAGGGGGGTTGTTGAAAATCATCACAAGCAAACATAAAGTGAAAAGGTAGCTTAACGGCCGCTACAGGGGTTAGACTACTTACTTAGGCTGACCCTGTAAAAGGCAGATTCTGTAAGGACTTAGGAAGTGAACATAGCCTCCATGCCCTACTAACCATTGGAGCTGGTGTCTGAACTGAAATGCATGTGCAGTTTGAGCCACAGTGACGCGCATGGCTAAGGAATGGAATCAGCAAGACGGGCGATTTTTCTGGCCAAACTGTGGCAAATTTGTCTTCCGTGGGACTCGGACCCACTTGCAGAATTCATACTTCATTGTCTCCGTCCTGACGGGCAAACCGCCAACCTTTCTAGCCAACAACGCGTTTCTTGGTGCCTAATTTTTGTGTGTCAGATTTCGTATACTACAGTCCTACCATTTGTGTCAGTTTGCCATTTATGTGCTGAAGGACTATCGCCAAGATGGAGAAACATGCCCCGGCGCCACACAGAGTGCTGGGCCGCTGCTTGCTGAACCTGACATCTGTGTCTTCGCGTGTCAGACTTTTGCAACGAAGTCTGTGAGAAGTCTTGCGAAGTCTCTAAGTCTCTAAGAAGTTCCCCTTTCACGCACCCAGTCCCTAAGCTTGCTTGCGAAGTTTTTCTGAAAGTATATATTTGTGAGGGGAGTCCCGGCATCGAATTGGCTGAGTGTTGAGGTGTTGGACATGTCGGTCTTTCAGGGCAAAGTCAGAGCGTCAGCTTGTCGAGATGTGCTACAGCACAGCATTCTGAGAATTGCGATGCCTTTTGATTTACGCACCACCGAGGTCAAGCGGTTCACTCCAGATTATGAAAGATACATTGTTGGCGACATCAACGGCAATGTGAAATGCATCCTGCGCTCGAAGGGCATGAAGGCGACCAAATCCAATGATAGTAGCTTTGCACAGGCCATTGGCTAGTGGTCCTGAAGTTTTTTCAACCTCATGCCTTCCAACCCTCCGTTTATATTTCCTTCATATTAGGGTCCAGTGTGCAATTTTGTTGCTTACCGCTGCAACTCACCACATTCTTTTGAGCAGTGGAGGAACCCGAGCTGGACTTTCGCACCAATCGTCCAGAGCAGCTCAAGACTGCAACTACAGCTCCTTGATTGAAATTGGTACGTTGCTCGTGATTCTCTCGGGCTTCCTATGATGAAGTCTTGAAGGTATCCCACTTGAACCCGTACGAACGCTATTTGGTGGTCCGTCGCCCGAAAGCAAGAAGTGCAGCTTTTTGAGCTTGCCCTCGCAACATGTGCCATTGCATGTTGAGGTGTCAAGAAATGTGAAGCCCTACCAGTTGCAGACTTTGATACTGGAAGCTCTGAATCTTAGGCTGGTGATGGTTTACAATCATAGATCGTATCATTCTGGTTTGACCTCGCGCCCAAATCATGCCAACATGTATCAACATGTAGCAGTTACGTAGATCTAAGGATCCATACCTGAGATGCACTTGGGACAACATGGTCATGCTGTCGCCTGTAGTGAAGCAATCCTTACGCCCGGTCTTCAACCAGAGCTTCTATTTTCCGGTGAGGGCAGCTCGACCGCAGCGGCAAATGAAGGAAATCAATGGAAACACATTTTGCGATCCACCACTGAAGATAGCAAGGGGACGAATACTCAGCGCTAAGACATATAGAATTCAATAGCAGTGCAGTACGTAGGATGACTTTGACAAGTGGTGGCCGCATGGCCAACTAAACACCAAAGCTGAACTCCAAGACCTTGTGTCTCTATTTCTTTTATGAGCATATGCATGAGGTGGTCTTCCCCGAGCTCCGCATGGGTTCAAAGGCTCCCAGTTGCAAATGCTGGATAAAGGTGTTCAATCAACATATCATTTTGTTTGAGTATGAATGTGATTCCTTCACCAAGGCTGAAAAGAAGTATCAAGACAGCATTTTAAAGTACGAGCTGACCAGCAAAGGCCATATTCAGATACAGGTGTGGGACGATGATGTGACATCCGCTGACTGCCTGGGTGGGTGCCAAGTCACACTGGGAGATATTCTCAATGTACGAGCAACGCAGAAACGAACCCTGTTGGGTCCCTTGGCGGCTGAGAAGAAAGATGATGAGGATGAGAATGAGTTCGAGGCAAAGCAAGAAAAACACAATCAGTGGTATGAAGAGCCCAGATCGGTGCGTGTCTATGATGGCAGCAAGACCGCGCTTGGCCAATCAGCTTTGGCGAACAAGGATGCTGCGCTGATTCACTTTGAAGCTTATTTCTACCCGGACTGGGCTGAAACTCTGAGATTTGAGGATGAAGTGCAGGAGGTCGACGCTGAATCGGTTTGGGCCAAGAAGGAAGAGGAGTGGAATTCTCGGAACATGCAGAAGGCTGAAGACTATGCGCTGCCATTTCCGGATTCCATAGGCGCCAAGAAGCCAAAAGAGGAGAACATGATGCAGACGGCAGATTCTTTGAGACGATTTCCTTGCATTGGCTTGCATCCTTTGACAAGGATAGAGACTCCTTTGATGGCATTCGTGTCCCCCATTATCATTCCAGAGGAGTGGAGTTTTCCGGCAAAGCTGTTGGAATGGGTACATTGCTTGTCTTTTAAGATTACTCAGCGTCAAGCTCGCATTGGTCTAATTCCAAGTGACGGCTGGAAAGACCCTGAGTATGTTCTTGCCAGACGAAAGGGAGCTCCTCAAGATCATTCAGTCTTGCTGTGCTCCCTCCTTCTGGGTTGCAAAGAAGATGCGTATGTGGTGAAAGGCACCGTATACTCAAAAGATCCGCTGGCAACTATGGAGAAGTCAGATCAACTGATTGAGCATACATGGGTTATGACACGCGAAAATGGATGGGTCACCTTTTGGGAGCCTTGCAGCAGACAGATTTTTCACCTTCCTAATCGATATGATCCAAGAAAGGTGAAGAAGAAGAAGCTGGAACAACTCGCGGTGAAGGCCTGCAAGTTGCTCAATTGTTCCGATAATTGTAGAGTCCAGACTTGCATGATGCTGTCTGGGTCGGCCAGGAAGAAAAAGAGGAAGAAGAACAAGATGACGATGCAGACATAGAACGCCAGCAGTGGGAAGGTGCGTGGATGATGACCATAACGAAAGGACAAACATTTTGCACAGGCTATTGTGCTGTAGTTAGCATCCTGAGCACCAGGAGAGGCTGAAGATTGCAGAGTGCATTTGGAAGATATGGAAAGCTTGCCAACTGTAGGGCGTATGCTGGGGTCTCAGAAGCACTGTTGGTAAGCAGTTCAGTTACTGCAAATGAGCTTATCCTTGTCATGTGAGTGTAGGAGTGATCCTGTTCGCGTGCGTCACAGCCATCCAGGCCAAAGCCAAAGACAAGATCAGACAAGGCAAAGAAAAAAGACGAAGAGCCGGGCCGTGAACGCCTGAAGCGTGAGCTCATCGAGCAGCGTGAGGCTGGTAGACAACACCTGGTGAGCAAATGCATCCTGACACGGCCTGTTTCATGGCCCTTTCCCATGCAGCTTTTGGTAGTAGCATTCCAACACACAAAACCTTGCTTCAAGCTGGATTCTGTATTTGGGAATCTGCTTGAGCTCGCATGCAAAGGATCCTTGTGGTATGATGATCATCACAAAGGTCCAGGTAGCTTCATCCGTCTCCAGGTTAAAACCGTTATCTACTTCATTCTTACCCATCGCCCTGCTCAGCATGATTTCTCCTGAGCCTCATCTTCGTCCTCACGCTCTTTGTCGTGCGTGCTCCCGCTCATGTTCATTCCATGATTTGGAGTAAATACAAGAGTCAATTGTGATTGACAGTAACACAGGTGTTAAACTGTTAATCCTTCATTTACTGTTAATCCATCATCATCATATCCCTTCCAACTGCGTGGCTCAATTCTTTTTGTTCAGTTCTGCATGTATGAATCAACTCTGGTTTTATCTGGTTTTGGTGGAAAGTTTTGGCTACAAGAGATGGCTGTGGTGGTAGCAGCTGCACCCCGCAAAGTGGGGAGGCAGCTGCCTGCCTGGCGTGAGCTGGAAGCTGCTCAGCTTAATGGCGAGCCTCTTCGTCAGAGAGCAGCTAGGCTAGTTCTCATGGGCTTGAAAGCACGACGCTTTTCCACAGAGGTCCCACCATCATGCGCTTGGAGCAGAAGCCTCTTGCAAAAGAGTTGACACACGAGTTCAGCAGTCAATTCTTCTGAGGGGTCCCTGTGCAGGGAAATCTAGAACCGATTATAACAAGAGCTAGCTCCCCACAAGGGCACCACAACAGGGAGATTTGGAACCAAGTCGTTGGAACACATTCTCACTGTTTGGAACCAACAACCTTCTTCCATTTAGGTCCCGCCAGTGCTTGAAAGAAGAGTGCCTGGCAACATGATAAAGGAGGCAACTTTTCTACATGCGCAACTAACACGCCTGCTGATGAAGTATGACCACCCGTGTTGATCCCGAGGCAGGCACATGTTGAACGGATATCACGCACATGTTGAAAGGCACGTCTTGTATTCTCGCTTTTTTCATTCCCATGACTCGCATCTTGCTCCCCATGCTCATTCCCACAACTGACTTCCTATGTGTAGCTAATGTTGCTGCTCATGCTTTTGTTGGATGCGCAAGATTTTTGCATGCTCCAGCATGACCTTGCCGCAAACATTTCCCTTTCTTTTTCCCCAGATATCTGCAGGCTACAGGGGTTTGGACTATGGTGTGTGTATGCATCGGCGTTTTGGTTTTGCGGGTGCTGCTGCCGTGCTGGTGCTGGGGCTGGATCGGCATTTTGTTTTGCCCGCGCTGGTGCTGGTGCTGGATCGGCTTTTCGTTTTGCAGTTGCTGCTGCCGTGCTGGTGCTGGTGTTGGTGCCTGACACATTGATCTTTTCCTGTAATGCCAGGGGCGACATCATGTCAGGCCTGGGCCATCATGGCAGGTCAGGGATGACTTCATGTCATGCCAGGGATGACATCATGTCATGCCAGGGATGACGTGCTGTCATATTGTGCATGACAGCGTGTTGCGCAGCAATGGTCATAATGTCGTTTGGGCAGCTTTGGCTGGCCCATGCCCACCTTACAGTTTTACGTCTGTGTTGGGCAAATTGGGCGCATTCTGAGCTGGTCTGATGTTGTGGACCTATGCACCCGCTATCTGGGGTCTATGCCGTTGTAATTCTTTCTTTCCCTTCGGTGCTTTCATCCGCTACACTATACTATATACCGACCCTTTTCGTCCAGCCGCCTCTCAAGTCCAAAATGAGTGGCTCAAAGGTCAGGAAACTCAGCAGCAAGAAGGCAGATCAAAGGAAAGCGCACCGACCCAACAAATGCCAACGGGTTCCCGACCATCCAAGATGAACAAAAAGAAACGCCAATCACAATCGAATGCACCACCGAAGTGACAAGTCACCACTGGGCATCCAAATTGCAGCACAACAACAACAACAGCAACAACAGATGCAACAACATCAGCATCATCAACAACAACACCAACAGCTGCAACAACATCCACATCATCAACATCAAAATCAAACAACGATAGGTATATAACAACTAATGACCACAGATCACCACATCAGCCACGAATAGCCAAGTCTACACTGATCAACGATTTCCCATAGAAACCATGTCGTAGGAAGAGAATAAAATCGCTAGCATTTTTGTGTTCGTCCTTTCACCCGCTTCGAGACTCCAATAAACACAGGATTGCCAATGTGATCAGGGTTCGCCGGTGCCGCTGTCAAGTAGTAGCCCCAAATAAGCCAGACATGCATCAGCGATTTGATGCCCTTCCTCCTCAGAGCGCCTCCTACCTTATCGGTTGCATTGTTTTGGTGTTTCTCGTAGTTGCGGATTCTTTATTCGCCCTACTTATGGTTTTGTTCCACCCATACAGCAGGTCAGAAACAAAACTCACGCACAGGTCATTGCCCATGTGTATTCCAGCATTTCTTCTCCGAAATCACATGTTTGCCCATGTTTGCCCACAATCAAAAAGTTTACTGTTGGGGTTCTTGCAGGCTGGCCAGGATAGCCGCGGCCGCGCCGTCAGCCCTTAACCGCGCCATTGGGCCGTGCGTTCTCCTCCTTGTCCCAGGCTTTTTCCGAGTGCCGTGAGCCCTTGTCTTCTCCGCCTTGTCCGTTTTCTTTTGGTGGCCATGGATGCAACGGTGATGCTGCGTTTCAATTTTGATATCATTTTGTTCCCTTACAACATGTTATTACAGTCTGTTCTCAAACAGCTGGAGGCTATAGAATATGTATATATATATATAACATTTAATGTTTACAGACATTTCCACTCACATTGGCATGCAAGGAACTAGCGCAGAGAATCCTGCTGAAACTGTTTGGAGTCTATGCTGGCAAAATCGTTCATTTTCCTTTTCCTCCTCTTCTGTTTGAGCGTTTAAATATGTTTAAACAAATTGTCCGGATCTGGTTTGCAGAATCTCACTCGTGCGCGTCACTCATTTCATCGCAAAGCGGCCAATGCACACCTGAAGTCAATCTTTTTTCCGACATGATATCAAAAGATAAAGGGATACACATGGATACACATATTCAGACGGAGCCGGAGCCGGGTTAACAGCATCTCAATGCTCAATGTTTTGTTTGCTTGTTGGAGATAATCTATGAGCTGGAAGAACCCTGTCAATGCTTTTCCCGGGGGCAACAACATGAACGAAATCCCACGGGCAAACTCCAACATGTTGCAGAAACGAGCATGACAAGAGATCAGGGATCAGACAAACTGTGGCGTGGTATATCCCGATCACACTGCACAGCCACAACTCGCGGATCACATCAAATCAAATCTCCAACACAAAAGTGCGCTTGATCTGAGGAACCGCGTCCACGCAAAAACCTAATCTGCTGCGTGACACTAAAAGAATCTACGTAAAAGATAATTTCTAATCATATCCGATAGCCGGTTCTCGACTTGTCAAATGCTTGAAAGATCTCGTGTGCAGGGTCTGCCAATTGCCCCAAAGAGGAAGATGCTGCAGGACCCTGCTTTCAGTGATTGTGCATTCTCGGCGCACATTTGTTCTTATGGAGCGCGTGTATCAACCTACTGTGAGGGCTTGCTTGATTCGAGCAACCACAAGCCAGCCCAGGAAGAGCAGCTAGTGACGTGGCTGCCGTACGATTCCATCGAGGCTGCGGGCCAGTGTGGTGAGTCCCGAGTCTGCACATATGCGAGCCTGTTTCAATTGCAGTGTTTCGGCTTCAGTAACTGAGTGGCTCACCCGCAGGGGTGATGCGCAATCTGGCATTTTGCCCGTGCTCTTGTTTCCCCTGAAATAGAAAGAAAGCTTCTTGGTTCTCTTGCTCTGCTTTCAGGGAGGGGACAGGTGTAGAGCTTCGTCAGCCGCTGGACATCTTCACGGCCTGACCTTCTTCAGCGTGAGGTCATCAAGGTCGCTAGGGTGGATCAAACAGGCTTGACTTGTGAGCGCGGCCGTCTCACCTTGATTGGACACTCCTGGCATGTGGGAGTATTGGCATTCTGGCACGGCTTGTTCAGCGGTTGGCTGGCAAATTGCACAGCACGCTAGTTGAAGGGAATATTCCCTGAGCTCACCCCTTTGTGGTTCAAGGCCCTAATGTAGACTCTTGATTAATCAACCCCCCCCCCGGCCCCCCCCCCCCCTCAACAACCAGGGCCTCCAAAATAATGTATAAGAAAATCAATCAGTTGATAATTAAATAAGGAATCGTTAGCTAGCTACCTCTGGAGCTACTCTGGCAATATTAAATTAAAAGGAAATAAGAATTCCTAACTTTGAAGACCTCTGGCAATATTAAATTAAAAGGAAATAAGAATTCCTAACTTTGAAGACCTCTGGCAATATTAAATTAAAAAGAAATAAGAATTCCTAACTTTGAAGACATCTGGAATATTAATCGAATCTCAAGCAAATCTCCATCCAAAAGCCTCCAAAAGCATCAAATCTCAATGGAAATCTTCAAATGTTTAATGGAAATCTCAATCCAAAAGCCTCCAAAAGCATCAAATCTCAATGGAAATCTCAAGTTTTTTAATAGAAATCTCCATCCAAAAGCCTCCAAAAGCATCAAATCTCAATGGAATCTCCAAATGTTTAATAGAAATCTCCATCCAAAAGCCTCTAAAAGCATCAAATCTCAATGGAAATCTTCAAATTTTCAATAGACATCTCCATCCAAAAGCCTCCAAAAGCATCAAATCTCAATGGAAATCTTCAAATGTTTAATGGAAATCTCCATCAAAAGGCATCCAATCTCAATGGAAATAAGGGATTTTATAAAGAAAGTGCGCACTGACTTTTGGAAACTT